GGGGACACCGGGGGGCACAAGTGACCACGGGGGCACTGCCAGCCATGGGACACCTGTGATCCCAGTCTGGGGACACCTGTGATCCCAGTCTGGGGACATGGGGACACCAGGGGGCATGGGTGACCACGGGGGCACTGCCAGCCATGAGACACCTGTGATCCCAGTCTGGGGACACCTGTGATCCCAGCCTGGGGACACCTGTGATGCCAGCTTGGGGACAGCCAAGGGACACCTGTGACCTCAGGGGCATTGCCAGCCATGGGGACATCTGTGATCCCAGCCTGGGGACACTGGGGGGCACGGGTGACCAAGGGGGCACTGCCAGCCTTGGGGACATCTGTGATCCCAGCCATGGGGACACCGGGGGGCAGCACAGGTGACCAAGGGGGCACTGCCAGCCATGGGGACACCTGTGATCCCAGCCATGGGACACCTGTGATCCCAGCCTGGGGACACAGGGACACCGGGGGGCACGGGTGACCAAGGGGGCACTGCCAGCCTTGGGGACACCTGTGATCCCAGTCTGGGGACACTGGGGGACACCTGTGATCCCAGCCTTGGGGACACCTGTGATCCCAGTCATGGGACACGTGTGATCCCAGCTTGGGGACACCAGGGGACACCTGTGATCCCAGCTTGGGGACACTGGTGACATGTGTGATCCCAGCCATGGGACACCAGGAGACACCTGTGATGCCAGCTTGGGGACACTAGGGGACATCTGTGATCCCAGCTTGGGGACACCTGTGATCCCAGCTTGGGGACAGCCAGGGGACACCTGTGACCTCAGGGGCATTGCTAGCCATGGGGACACCTGTGATCCCAGCCTGGGGACACCCGTCCCCGTGTGTCCCCGCGTGTCCCCGTGTGTCCCCGTCCCCCCCGTGTGCCCCTGTCTCCCCGTGTGTCCCCGTGTCCCCCCCGTGTTCCCCTTCCCCCCGTGTTTCCCCGTGCCCCCCCCGTGTGTCCCTGACACTTCCCCAGACCTGTTCCCGCTGCCACCACCAGGTGCCACCCCTGTCCGTGTCCAGCCCCGGCCACCACCGCCCCGTCCCCGCTGTCCCCCCCGAGGTGCCACCGCCCCGTC